CGACCAATGGATGTTGAGTATCTTGCGTAGACAGCTATTTATAAATACTTGTACTTTCTTGATAGTGGTTGTTGTAGTTCTCCAAGTTTCAGCTCCGTACAGTAGAATTGCTTTGACGTTGATATTGAAGATCCTCACTTTGATATTGGTTGAAAGTTGTTTTGAGTTCCATATGTTCTTCAATTGTAGGAATGTGGCCCTTACTTTGCCAATCCTCGCCTTTACGTCTGCATCTGAACCTCCTTGTTCATCGACGATGCTTGCCAGGTGTGTGAAGGATTCTACGTCTTCCAGAGTTTCGCCATCAAGAGTGATTGGATTGTTGTTCTCCGTTTAGAATTTGAGGACCTCGGTTTTCCCCTTGTGTATGTTGAGGCCTACTGATGCAGAGACTGCTACTACACTGGCTGTCTTTATCTGCATTTGTTCGTGTGTATGCGATAGGAGGGCTAGGTCATCTGTGAAGTCCGAATCGTCTAATTGATTCTGAGCTGTCCATTGTATTTCGTGTTTTCCCTCAGATGTCGCGGTCTTCATAATCCAGTCGACCATCAGAAGAAAAAGGAAGGGAGAGAGTAGACAGTCTTGTCTGACTCCGGTCCTTACTTCGAATGCATCTATCAGCTGTCCTCCATGCACGACCTTGCACTGTGGTCCATCATATGAGTTCCGGATAATATTGACAATCTTCTCAGGAACTCCATAGTGTCGAAGAAGTTTCCATAACGTCCTCCTGTCTACATTGTCAAATGCCTTTTCATAATCGATGAAGTTGATGTACAGTGACGAGATCCACTCAACTGATTGTTCGACGATGATCCGTAGTGTTGCAATTTGGTCTGTGCACGACCGATCCTTACGGAATCCAGCTTGTTGATCTCGGAGTTGAAAGTCTACTGCGTCTTTCATCCGGTTCAGCAACACTCTGTTAAGGACTTTCCCTGGCATTGACAGTAGTGTGATTCCTCTGTAGTTTTCACATTTGCTCAGGTCTCCTTTCTTTAGAATCTTGATGAGGTGTCATTCTTTCCAGTCCATCGACACTTGTTCCTCCTCCCAAATCTTTTTGAATAGAAGGTGAAGCATGTCTGTAGTTACTTCGATGTCTAGCTTCAGTACTTCAGCTGACACATTGTCGGGTCCTGCTGCTTTCCCGCTCTTGATTTGTCTGATGGCCATTCTGATTTCTTCCGTCAATGGCGGATTGACATCTATAGGAAGATCTGTGTGCTGCTTCTATGTACGGTGGATTCATTGTAGCCGGCCTATTTCAGGAGTTCTTCGAAGTACTCTACCCATCTGTTCCGCTTTTGTTGAATTTCAGTAATTGACCTGCCTTCTTTGTCCTTGACCGGTATCTTTGGTTTACTATATTTCCCTGCTAGTATCCTCGTTGAATCGTAAGGCTGTTTCATATCTTCTTCTCTTGCAGCTTTTTCTGCTGTCGTTGCTAGTTCTTCCACGTATTTCTGCTTGTCGGCTCTAATGCTTTTCTTCCCTTGCTTGTTTGCTTCTATGTATTCAGCTTGTGCTTGGACTTTCTCTGCTCGTGTTCGGCTGTGGTTAATTGCTGTCTTCTTGTTCTTACCTTCTTTGATCTTGTCCAGTGTTTCTATAGAGATCCATTCATTATGATGATGCTTCTTGAGGCCCAGAACCTCTTGACACGTTGAAGTTGATGCTTCTTTGATACCTTTCCAGTTGTCCTCCATAATAGTTTCTCCTTTCAGTAGATCATGTAAGGCTTGGAATCTGTTGTTGACAGCTATCTTCAATTTATTGAGTTTTTCTGTATCTCAAAGGAAGGCTGTATTGAACCTTTGTAGTGCTGTTTGTCCAGTTGTCCAGTTCTTCTTTAGCTTCAGTTTTAAATTGGCCACAACTAGATTGTGATCTGAAGCTATGTCAGCTCCTCTCCTGGTTCTCAAGTCTTCCATTGTCCCTCGGATTTTTTATTGATGCAGATATGATCTATCTGGTTCTCTGTAGTGTAGTCCGGTGAGATCCATGTAGCTTTTTGTATACAATTGTGTGGAAATATTGTGCCTCCTATGACCAATTTGTTGAATGCACACAGATTTGCAAGTCTTTCCCCATTTTCGTTTCTCTCTCCCAGTCCATGTCTTCCCATGATATCTTCATATCCGGTGTTGTCTATTCCGACTTTGGCGTTTAGATCTCCCATCAGAATGGTGAGGATCTTTCTTGGGCATTCCTCTATGATTGGTCGCAGTCGCTCGTAGAATTGATCTTTAATGTCGTCGTTGCTATCATTGGTGGATGCATAACATTGGATAATATTCATTGTGATCCCCTCCTTCTTTGTTTTGAATGATGCTTTGATGATTCTGGATCCGTGAGATTCCCATCCTACAAGTGCATTTCGTGCTACTTTGGACAGCATAAGAGCGACTCCCTGAGTGTGTGGAGCATTTTCCTCTTCGTGACCGGAGTATAGCAGCATCTCTCACGTAGCTAGCCTTTTCTGTCCAGCTTGGGTCCAGTGGGTTTCGCTGATTCCCAGTACTGCTAAGTTGTATCTCCTCATTTCCGTTGCTATTTGACTGGTCTTCCCGGTCTCCCACATTGTTCGGACGTTCCATGTACCTATAAAAATCGTTGCTCTGGTTGTTAGAAGAGGCATCGGCCTCGTGGCTTCCGAAGGAACTCGGCTTTCTCGATGAGGCGTCATAGTTCTTCTAAATAAAGACCTTCTAACTCCCAGGATAGAGTTTAAATGGTTTGAATTATTTTTTCTGGTTAGCGTTTTTTTAACAAGTTCGTTTTCTACGGGATGGGGTCGCTAACCGCATGCCCAACCCTTCTCTTTTACCCGGGCTTGGGACTGGCAGTAACTCTAGAAGAGCTACAGGCGAAGTTACGGCAACCTGGACCGATGTATATATGTGCCTAGTCCATGGTTGTAGCTGACTGACACAACTGCCAACGGAATTTCAATGAATACACTTTATAACAATATGTAAGCTAAATTCGGTCGATAATGTTATCCACTGCAGTAAAATTTGGTGTTCAGTCTTTTTTTCGGAATGTTTTATTGTGTTTTTGGTTCCCTCATAATAGGAAACCCAGTCAACAATACTAGTTTGATATAGGATTTATTTGTAGAACAGACTAAGTACGTATAGTAGTCAACATATGATTGAGATATATACGAGACTCCGAATCAGACTATCCACTTCCTCCCAGAGACGAATTACAGTAAAATCAGTTTGCATATAGTGACAAATCAAGTTCTTTGCTTTAATTAATATTTTCTGAGTAATTTTTCTTTTGAGAACTTGTGGATAGCAATGGCTTATCAGTGTTGATATTTAATCATCCTTCTACCCAAAATTAACTTCGTTATTTATTTTCAGAATCGAGAATTGCAAATTATGCGTCAGCTGGACCATCCAAATATTGTGCAGTTAAAGTACTTCTTTCACTCTGTGGGTGACAGAGTAAGCTGTTATGTTGTTTTTAAATATATCGTTATTATTGTATTTTATTTAGGATTTAGTTTCATGCTTTTGGTTTACATCTCGTTCGTTCTGTTGTGTTCTTATTGATTTTTCGTATTGGTTAAAAGCGTAACTGTTGAAATCCAGTGATCGTATTATCAGTTCTATTTTGTATGAATTTTCCCATACGCACAGCTCAATTAGTCATTACCAACGTCAAAACCAAGCACAAATGTGTATCAGTCCGAGTTGCCTCGTCTCATCAGTATATCAAGTTTAAGAATCATAGTTGATAGTGTTAGTGGTAGTAAAAGTTGATTATAGTTCAAAAACAGGGGAAATCGAGGAATGGAAAGTATAAAATAGTATAAAAATCCGAATTTTGAAGGAAGATGACAAATGAATGCATATATGTCACTGCAATCGATCGTTAACCATGTAATATAAAATTCCCAACTACTGATTGTGGTTACTGTTCGAAATCCAACCCGGTAATCCGTAGCTGATGACAGCTGAGATAAATAATCACTGGCTTCATAAATTTGTCACCGGTTTTGGTCCAACAGTACCGAGAGATATCTGATGTTGTAGTTCATTATGTGTATGAAATAATAAAGATTAAATAGTCCTTGAAGAACCAACTAGTTAACTAGGAGTCATTAACGTGTTATGCAATTATTTCGGCATAAAACGAAGCGTTATGTTAACTTGATATTAACGCTACGGAAAAAATGGTTATTTAGTCAGCCATATTTAATATCGGGCGTAGTACGAATGTACGTCAACTTGCGTTGCTACAATGCATCATCACGGTACGGTGAAATTCACAAGATGAATTGTAAAAGAGTCCAGATATTGGCGACATCAGTTATACTGAGAAACATTAAACATGGAAAGTAAAAGAATAATTCAAGAAATAAAAGACATGAAATAATATAAAACTTCGAGAAAATGTAATGTAAAAACATGTGCACTAATAAGACTGATTCTAAACCAAACCACCCAAATTGAGGTACTGATTGCGGTTATCGCACGAATGTCAACTAAGTTTGCACCTCCCGACAGGTTTCAGTCTTACAATCACTGTCTTCATCGACTTATGTCACATATTAGTGTGATCATCCTTTGGCATAGGTAACACTTTCTAATTATCTCATTCGATGGAGATTCAGTCTCATCGATCGACTTAACTGGTACCCTATGCCTAACCTCAAAATGACTCATCGTACACAGGCAATGCTTCAAAGATACTCATGATAAAATACTTGCTACCTGCATATGTCATACTTCAATAGGCTATGTTTCATACTAGTAACCTACGAATAATCTTAAAGATCACGTCTCAGCTATAATATATAACAAAGCGAACTGCTACAAAATGTATTCGCATCATCATTGGAGACGAACATTTCGTCGGTGATACAAGTGACGGGAGTTGAAAAAAGTCATGCGGACTTCCTGAATCCATATAGGTATTTCATCCAACACCAACCCACAAGCCACCAAATGCTCAGGCACGGCCGAGGGTGAGGAGCGCTAGCTCTCCCTCTCAAAATGCTCTCATATGGCCACACGTATACAACTACTTCCAGGGAAGTCCCACTCACCGCTTTCTCGCAGCGAGGGTGTTGTTTAACGAAATTAAGAGGACGAAAAGCGGATTCCTGTCGCTTTAACAGGGTTGATGGATCCACCTAGGGCAGTTGGATAATCTTGATTTCAAACCAGTGGCGTACATGGGCTCCAGGATCCTAAGGGAACAAATGGCGTATGAACCTATTGTTGGTCACCGGCTACCATGGGACTGCATCTCCTAACGTTACTCCGTTGCCTTATGGATTAAACCTGTGGGTCAAAGGCTTGGAGTGTGTCCACTTAAGATAACCACCTGCTTCGAGTTGGACACCCGGGCAGTACTCTAGCCCTCACACATCAAATGATTTGTGGGGCGCATATGTATTTGGTGCCTTCTTGTATCAGTGTTTGTGTTTAAATAAAGAAATATCCCACAAGAGCTAATGTTACCTCCAGGATAAGTATTCTCGATGCTCTCAGTCACTTCACTCCATAATCAATCTAGCCACTAACTCGGAACAGTCTTAAAACAACATGTGGTACTTAGAAGGCGAGAAACTTATCTTAAAAATGTTTGGATTGTTACTCAAGGAAAGGTTTGGTTCTTACCTGCCAAATTACGTAAGTACACACATATAGGTTGTTTACAAGTTTTCGTAGTGGGAGTCAAAACACGAAGCGCACGTAAGTTATTTGGAATCGGCTACATATTTTGGGGAGTGCAAAGGTTAGTTGAATTAGTTTCAGTTAGTCTTCCTTCTATTATAATGTGATTAATTTTCAACTGTTTTTACCAACTTTCCCCAGAAAGATGATGTCTATTTAAATTTGGTCCTTGAATTTATTCCGGAAACCGTATATCGTGTTGCCCGAAGATATGCCCGTCAAAAGGAAACAATTCCTCTTTTATTTGTAAAGGTAATTTTTATTTTTTAGTAATTTTATCCCTGTCAACATCAATCTCGCACCTTTCATGGATTTATTCAGTTTTATAAAATTTCGTTACAGTAGTAAAATTTTTCCATAACCATCATAACCTGTGAATCGATTGATTTAATTGGTAGTCCATTTCATATCTGCTTGTAATTTTTTAGGGGCTAATATTGTCTTAATCCACCCACTCAGCCTTTTTCCAACTCCAGTCAATCAACTCAGCGCGTCCGTAAAGGTGTACATGACACATGTCCTAATAGTCTTAATTGATAAGGATTCACAGCCTCGTCATGTGCTTTGTCATTTATAGATGGTGTTATTTAGTAAACTAATCTTAGCATCACCCACTCGATGGTTCTGTCATACACGCAAAATTCTTCGAAAATACTTATTTCGGATACTAGTAGCCTGAAAGTATTTTGTACTACCATAATTTGTTCCGCTTGCGTAAAGCAATTCAAAACGGACTGGTTCACGTTATGCGTATCTTTGATGGGCAGTTGGACAAACATTTTTTCCCATAGATGACCTGGGTTGACTAAGGTCATCAGAGAGTTCACTAACCATCAACCCTCTAGAGTTGAAAAGACCCTCAATAACAGGGATGTGATCAAGTTGCTCAACTTATTTAGTTGTTATATTTAAACTAGACAATAACATAAAGGAGTTTTGAAGTGGCTTTTTGCATTTGTCACGCAAGGTGCACAGAACAGTGAACTTATCAACGTCTTTTTCAAGTAGAACTAAACTATCTAACTCCCAAATTAACTAATATCTCAGTCAAATAAATAATTACAGACTGTTATTCTCAAAGACTTCTGGAATTGACTCATCAATGTCTACTGCCTTCACTAAAATTTTAAAACTGGGTCCAGTGTCATATTTTAGGTAGTTGGTTAATAGCGGGGATCATTTGTAAACGTAACGAATCGCAAATTTTTTTAGCCTTATGTTATGGTAGCATTAAATGTTATTATCACAAATTTGTCATTTCTGCTCCTTCTTGAGTCTTCTTTTTCACCCTATTTATCTCCAAGTAAATATGATAGTTGAAGAATTTTGTGGCGATATGTAATTTAAGTTCTCATAATGTATAAGTAAGCTTTTAAAATTACGAATATTTTCTTCCGTTTCCGTTAATCCTTTTTTCTCGTTTTTATCTCGATGGTTTAGCTAGTAAACTTTCATTTAAAATAATACCACTAAACAGCCTGTAGGGTCTCAACATGTTTGTTTGGGTTTAACAATACAAACATTTTTAAAGTACACAATTAATATGACAATTTACAACGTACAAAATGACCTCATGATAACTAATGTGTACATTACTTTTACAAACAATGCACGTTTTATAGGTGATGCAAATTCAAGGATAATGGGGTTGAAATTTCCCGATCTTGAACAGTTAAATTCTTAAGATCTGTAACGCGGTGATTAATTAACTTGCTTCTTAATTCACATAGCGTTACAATGAACAACATCCTATCAGTAGTTGATACACAGTTCATACGAATTAGTACAGTTCGAAAATTTACGTTTAATTGTTCGTTTACGTATAGTTCGTATTAAATTCTCATTTTTATTGCTATAGCAAATAATTTTACCCAGTTTTATTTGTACTTTATTTTATCTAAATTTATTCTGTTCACCTTGAAAATACCTTTGAATTACCTTTTTTATCATACCCTTCTCTACTAATCAAGGTTTTTCCACACTTTCTTATGACTACTTTTCTGGACAGGAAAAAGTACATGTACATGTACCGAGAACGTACATGTACAGTTATTTTCGTAGGTTATGTGCATTTAAATTTGATAGCATGTAATCCTTTGATTTAATGAAAGCAAACAGTTATTATAGAAAAATTTCACGTATTTTAATAACAACTGAGATAGACAGTTGTTATATAGCACGCACCATCATCTCAGTTGGTGTACGTTTATGATCTCATCTAACTTCCATGCTCTTGCATATATATCAACTCTTAACTAACTAATATGCTTTACTATTATTAAAGGTATTTGAAGTAACCTATTTAACGTCTTTGTTTTTATATGCTTCACTCTTTTTCTCGAATTCATCCTCTATCGGATTTAAGGAACTAACATTGATTTATCGTTTACATTGTCCCAGTCATAAACCAATCGAATTTCTCATGGTCAAGATTACGTCAACATATATTAGGTATATATGATGCTGTGGTGATATTTTTCTGACTAAGGATTAGTTGTGAAGAGTTTTATGTTACTTTTACTCAATATAAACTCTTCGAGCAGAGAATGTTTGATAGCTTTTTCAACATTATTTACCAAGAATGTTTTGAAATTGAAATCTCCCATTTTACTAAGGTCATCCTTTCACTTTATGTTAAACAATTAACGTTTAGTTGCAATATTTTACTAAAAATATCCTCATTTTTCTATATGATGGAGATAAATCACACCTGATAAAATAATTAACTTTCACAATTAACTTTAAGAATGACTGAACACATTTTCATTCGTCCATATTTGATTAATTATATTTTGATAATGATGATTAAATTCAGACATGTTACACAAGTTAATGTTGATTTTCTCATTGCCATATGAAAATTGTACTTCTCACTGATATCACCTTAATATTTGTGTATTCTAATATTGTAAAATGTGATTAAATAAACAAAAGGTATAGGATTCTAAACGTTATGGCACGAGTAAATACGTGGAATAAATAGTGGAGTCTGTCACCTGTAAACAAAAACGTTGCCATACGCTACTTTTGTTTCTGAATTCTCGTAAACTTCAGTTTATGTTTTCTTTTCCAGCTATATATGTACCAACTTTTCCGAAGTTTGGCTTACATACATCATAAAGGTATTTGTCATCGGGATATAAAACCCCAAAATTTACTTTTAAATCCAGCAACAGCTGTTTTGAAATTGTGTGATTTCGGAAGGTTAGTTTACTGTATATAAGATTTTATTCTCGTGTAGTAGTTTGTGTGATTTTCTGACAAATTGACTTGAGTAAAAGCTGCAATATGGCCTATGATTGTATCTAACAATTCATTGAGAAAATGTTGAATAACCAATGTGTCATGTACACTTACATGGTGTACATTCAACATTATTTGTGTTCCCTTGTATATGTTACTACGTCATCTCAAATAAGGCAGATCTCCAGTCACCTTGAAAGGGGAATAACTCATTTATGAATGATGTATCCTGTATTGTTAGACAGGAATAATAAAACATTGCATAATGAAACCAAACTTGAAGTTGTGCATCGCAACTAGAAACGCTTTTTTTTATCAGTGCACGTTGTTTAGTAACTGAACTTATTTTTGAATTCTGTTTCAACTGAATTATACTGGGGCGCATTAATTAAAAGATGGGATATGACATGAAGTATTTGTGTTCACCATATTCTCTGGTAAAATCAATGTCCTAATTTGTTGCCTGCAGAGCATTTTCATCTCTTTCGCTGAAATTGATACAGGCTATTTCATTTAAGACTTGAAAATAACTTGTTTTTATAGAATTTATTACTCCATACTAAGGGTTTTCTACTTATAGATTTCATTACAACTGTAATTAGTTAATTATTTTATCTCTTTAGTGCGAAGGTTTTAGTTCGCGGTGAACCTAACGTTTCTTACATATGTTCCCGTTATTACCGGGCTCCTGAATTGATATTTGGTGCTGTGGATTACACATGTCAGATTGGTAAGTGCAATATTCTGTGGGAAAGACTTCATTTTTAAATTTATCGGATCACCGGTTTTAAGCGGTCATTGAACAAGTGGTTGAACTACGTAGAATAGGTTCTGCTTGCCAATGACTGAGTAATACTCCATTCATAGCATTTCCTCATACTAGATATCTTCCGAATTTAGTGATGAAAACTAAACAGTATTAGAGTCAATGAAGAGATCCAGTTATTTGTAAAAAAAAATACAATTTAGGGCGAAATAAACACCTTTGTAAACAAGCAGGTTAAACTACAGATAGCTCTGTTTCTAACTTTGAATGCTCAATCTACAAGCTTAGTCTTTTCTCAGCTAATTTCTATGAAGGCAGTTTGTTGAAAAAAGTAATACGTCACTTAATTTCTATCTCGTAAAAAAGGATTTAGAACAAAGATATAGCACTTCTAGCTGTTTAGCTGGTGACATTATGTCCCCAAACACTTGGTCACCTGTTCACTAAATATCGTGCACAATTTTTAGGAAGTAAATCACACGTTAGTATAACGAATTGCAAACCAGTTTAGCTAGGCTTCTTAAAGTTTGGTATTTTCAACTAAGCCTTCCGTAACATACTCCATAATCATCTGGGATTAAGCCTAACTTCAGCTGGGTTTTGTTATAATGTATATATTATCGTTTTGAAACACGGGTTTCTGTGAGTTGAACACGTATTGCACACGTCATCCTGACGGTTTCCATAATGAGAACATTTTGCTATAATTACTGTTTGCTTCAGCAATGAAAAGTTATTAACTTTGAAAAGCTACGTTGACTTAGCTTTTATTGGCGCACCACAACTTTATCCTACTATTGGGATCAGTCAGTCAGCTACAACCTTGGACCAGGCACATATATACATCGGTCCAAGTTGCCATACCTCATTAGCACAGCAAGATGAACACCGGATACACAGAAGTAGTTCCTTCGATGGTGGTAATGTATAAGAGATTGTGCATAAGGATATAGTACAGGAAGAAAGAATTAGTTGATAGAAAAAAGATATGAAGCGATTTTAATCTCACAGTTTGAAGGAAGACAGAGAGTGTATACACCGACACCGCTGTGATCGATTCTGAGCCATGTCATCCACAGTCTCCAACCACTTAATACGATAGTCGCACGGATCCCAACCAAGTAGTTTGCATCTAACAACATGGCTCAGACCAGAAGCTAGTAACTTCAAGTACTTTTGCCATTTTTTGGTTTGGTCGCCCCTAACTTTCTTCTAATCATCTCCAACACTAGTCAGCATTGCGCGCCGTGCTAATCGGTGTTCAGGTATTCGTAACGTGTGGCCCAACCATCTCAGTCGATGAAGACTCACAACCTTGTCAACTGCTTTACTATCATTTTATTAATACCCCGCATCCAAACTCACTATCACGTACCCAGTGATCCCAGCAGGTACCAGCAATATTTCTGAGACATCTTTGATCAAATATTGGTGACTTACGAATATCCTCTACTCATAATGGCCACGTCTCGTAGCTGTAAAGTAGAACAGAACGAACTGCCGCACAGTATACTCGTCCTTTAATTAATAGACGGATATCTCGCCTTCGCCATAATTCATGTATGTTGGCAAAATTCGAACGAGCTTTTTGAGTCGGCGCTGAGATTTCGTCAGACACCATCTGATCAGACTTCCAAGATAAGTGAAGTTGTCGGCGTGTTCGACTACTTCACTCCCTATCCTTAGTTTGGGTGTTGACACAGGTCAGTCCTGAAGCAACAACTTGCATTTAGAGGGGGATAAACGCATCCTAAAAACCTTGGCATTGTTGCTCAGTGCTACCAAAATACTCTGCATTTTATCAGCGTCTTCATCAAACAGAACTATGTCTTCTGCGTATTCTAAGTCAATAAGTAGACCTTCTGGTTGGAGATCGATGTCCGAAAATTCAGTCAACGAGAACGTTGTTTCCATTAGTATGTCCATAGTGAAATTGAACAAAAATGGAGAAAGCGGACAGCCTTGACGGACGCCACTTGAGGTTGAAAAAGCAGGTGACAGTTCACATAAGCTCTGACTCGACTAGTAGTGTTCGAGTAAAGAGCCTTCACACGGCTTATGTACTTCTGAGGTACGCCTTTCAATGACGGACACTGACACAGAATTCCTCGGTCTACGGAGTCAAATGCTGCTTTTAGGTCAAGAAAGACCACCATTATCGGGTGCCGTTAAGCATGTCTGTGTTCTAAGATCTGACGAATGGCGAATATGTGGTCGATGCAGCCAGGAGCAGGTCTGAACTCAGCCTGATTTCCTCGTGTTTGCAGTTCACGAGTCTTTGTTAAGTGTCCGACAACAATTGAGGCTAGTACTTTAGATGTTATGCTAGTTAAACTAATCCCTCTATGGTTATCATTGGATGATTTTGACCCTTTATGTATTATTTCTGTAGTTTTTTTTCCGAACTAAAATTCTTAATCGTTTTTTCGATTATAACTCATTTGTTTGTGTCTGCAGATGTTTGGTCAGCTGGTTGTGTACTTGCTGAACTTTTGTTAGGTCAGCCAATTTTTCCTGGCGAAAGCGGTGTAGACCAGCTTGTTGAAATTATAAAAATCTTAGGTACTCCTTCCCGCGAACAAATTCACGAAATGAATCCTGACTATCGGGAATTTAAATTTCCACAGATTAAACCTCATCTCTGGTCAAAAGTAAGATATTCTTTGTGGTTTTTTGTTAAAGTTATCTTGATTTCTAATACGATTAAACAGTTTGAGATTAATGGTTTGTGTGTTCCACATATTTCTTGTCCCTTTGAATTATATATTTTATTTCTTGTCGAAGATAAAACAGAATAGACACAAAGTTGATATCGTTTTACTGCTACCTACGTTGTCTCATATTTTACTATTATGAACTGGTGATAACTGCAGCAATGATTTAAAATAGACATAACTGTCTGTTTCATGTATTATCAGAGCTGATTTATGCTATGACGTTTGGGATATTCGTTTCTCTAGATCTAATCGATAGTTTACCATCACTCCAAAATCAGGAATTTAATATGTAAAATATGCATTTGAACGCGAAGCTAATTCTTCAAACTGTTTTAGTACAGTTACAGCGATGTATAGATTAGAAACTCTCTTATCAATAAATATAATGCGCTTGCATTTCTGTTAATTGAACGAGTTTAAAAATATTGTTCTTGTTACTGGACAGATAAAAACACTTGAAAAGTTTTTGTAACTTGCGGGTATATAACATCGGTGAAAGTTGTAGACCTTAAAGTTATGTTGTTTACCGAAACGAAGGATAGCCTTACTGCTATAGGCAATTAAAGTTTAGTCATTTCATTTTTTATGATCGTTCGTTTAATATTTATTATTATGAAAGCTTTTAAGTTCGAATATGCAGAGTTTATGATCCCATGGAAATTCTGATTGTTCAGTGAGAAAATTACAACAGAGGTTTCTAAACACCTCGATCAACTTAAAAAGATAATGATATGGTATATATTACTTATTGAAGGCTATCACTCCCCTTGGGACATAGATCACCGAATAGGGATCTCCAGTCAATTCTGTTCTGGGTTCTACTTTCCAGTTGTCAAGATGTCTTCATGATCTTTATGTCTGACTCTAATTCCTGATGCTAGGTATCTTTGGTCTGCCTCTTCTCCATTGGACTTAAGGATTCAAATTTATTTATTATTTATTTATTTATTTGAACACAAATATTGGTACAAGAGGGCACCAAATATATGCGCCACACAAAACAATGAGGATTCGAAGAGAAAAAAGAACAATAACGAACAGATTAGTGTACGGTAGTGTAATAATAATAATAATAATAATAATAATAATAATAATAATAATAATAATAATAATAATAATAATAATGGGGGAAACGGAAAGGTACAATCAGAAGAAATCTTTCAGTTAAGGGAGAAACAACCACTTTTTACGAAGAAAGTAAAAGAAGGTTACAGCAGGATCGCCACTGGCTTCTATTCTGAGCCATATCTGATAACGTCTCTAGCCACTGTGTTGCACCATCTCTCGGACCCCAGTCAGGGAGTCGTGAAGGATCAACACGAGTCAGTCCTTTGCAGCGTTCTTTCATACCACGACACCATGTCATACACTGACCACCTCTCCGCTTCTTCCAACCAGTCCCAGCGTCGGTAAATAGTGCACGACGTGGAATTCGCTGGGACGACATTCGTAGAACATGTCCAAGCCACCGAAGTCGATGTTTCAAGATGGTGATACCAATTGAATTATCATCCCTGTGCTCGAACACACGATGCCGAACCTCTGCATTACTGACATGGTGTTGCCACTGAATGTCAGCAATCCTCCGGAGACAACGATGATCGAACACAGAGAGTCGTCTAACATCCGAACGAAGTGAACTTTTTTCAAAGATAGGGACAACTATCGGCTCATTCCATGACGTTGGCACACTCTCGAGCTCCCAGACCTTTGTAAACAACGTCGTCAGTTCCTTAGTCAGAAAGTCACCACCATCGATGTTGCCGGAGCAGCAGGCTAGTTGAACTGCCGTTCGAAGAATTCTGCCCATCGTCCAAGACGTCGATGAATGTTAGTGATTGGCATCCCATCATCCTCGCAGATTGTTTCGCTCACTCCAGACTTCTTGCTGCCAGTGGCTCGAATGAGTTGGAAGAACCTCCGGTTAATACCAGATGCAGCTGCTGCTTCCAACTCATTAGCACGCTCCGACCACCAGGCTTCTCGGTCCTTACACAAGCTTTGCCCGATTTCATTACGTAACATCCTTCGTTTGTGGTCAAACTCACGGTCACTCGGAGTAGACTGACGAGCGTCGATAAGTTGTAAGGAACCAGAAGAAACCCAGTGCTTATAAGCGGGACGTTTCGCGAACCGACAACTGACTGTACCCGCCATTTTCATGGCGTCATGCAATTGCAACCAATGCTCATCTATACTTTTCGGTGGAATGGTAGCCAGCCTAGAAGCTAGCTCGGTTCGATACTTACCAGCAACAGAAGTTGCAACCAGCTTGCTAACATCAATCCGTTGGTGGTGGTTACTTCGTTGTCCACTGAAAAGTAAGGTAAGATTGGCGCAGACCAAGGCATGGTCAGAGTCCAGATAGGTACTCCAAAAGGAGCGGCAGTCTTGTACACAACCACGTCAGCGGTAGGTGATCGCGATATGATCAATCTGAGTCCCGGCTTGAGATGCAGAGAGAGGACGCCAGGGTGGCACATCGGCGATGACTGTGCCGGAAGTTAGTGCTAGCCAGAAACAGGTTGTGGTCTGTGCACAGTTGCAGTAGACAGTCCCCGTTATCTGTTCTGCGACCAACAAGTTCCCACCGGCCACCTAAACGATTCTCTTATGTGCCTAGACGCCCGACCTGAGCATTCAAGTCCCCGGCTAGTACTACAATATCTGTCGAACCCACTTTCTGGAGAAGAACAGATAACTGGTGGTAAAACTCATCCTTGATTGCATCCGGGCTGTAATCTGTCGGGGCATAGGCGGAGATGACGAAAAGACATCGTTTCTCACGCCGATTTCTTCTCACTTTGATGGAACTTTCTAATCTAACAACACATAACCGACTGCTTATGGCTCATTTATGATGTAGTTTGATGATTTGAACAATGAGTGTTCCATTGACCTCCAGTATCTTTCCTTAATTTCCTCCCCAGTTGGTAGCTGGCTTGTTTCTCTGCCACAGTAGGTTATCGCTGCTTGTTTCTGGTCAATGGACCTAGAGCATTTTGCGTAGACAGCTGTCTATGAATATTTGTACTTTTTGGTGATGTTGCTGACAGTTTTCCAAGTTTTAGCTCCGTACAATAGCACTATCTTAAAGTTAGTGTTGGAAATTGTGATTGGTTTTGTGTGACAGTTGTTTTGATTTACGGAAATTCTCTGATTGTAAGGATGCTGCCGTTCCTTCGCTAACTCGTCCTTTGATGTATTCATCAGATTCTCTATGTTTGTCATTGGTAGTGCTTAGATGCGTAATTTCTTCCACCTCTCCGAGAGATTCATGATCAAGTGTGGTTTTATTGGGTCTTTATGCGTTGTATTATGGGATCTTGGTTTATCCATTGGGAATACTGAGGTGTACTGCTGCGGAAACCGCGGCGGTACTTTCGGTATTCGTCCTGCATTTGTTGCCGTGTGTGCAATAGAAGAGCTAAGCCATCTTCAAATAACCCAGCAGTGTCCAAGGTGTCCATTTTATCGCGTGCTTCACCTGAGATGTGCAAACCTTCATAATCCATTCAGTAACCAGCAGAAAGATGAGGGGCGAGAGTAAGCAGTCTCATCTGACACTGATCTTCTCTTGGAATGCATCTGTGATCTGCCTTCCATTACCCACTATGTAATTCAGTCTGTCGTAGAAGTTTCATATGGTGGTGACTATCTCTCCGGCCACTCCATATGAAGATTGTTCCATTAGGTTCACCTATCCACGCTGTTAATTGCTTTTCCATAGTCAAGGAAGTTGATGTATGGTGATGAGTTCTATTCACTTGATTACTCAACGAATGATCTGCAGTGTTGGGACTTGTTGTGTACATGATTTATCCTTACGAAAGCTGGCATGTTTATCTCGCAGTTGAGCGTCTGCTGAATTTTTCATTTGCTTCAACAACACTGTCAAAAACTCCGTCTGGTACTAGCATCAATGTGATGCCTCCATAGCTCTCACACTTAATAAGGTCTTATGATTGTTGTCTTGATGTGGCATCTCTCTTACCAGTATTCCGGTACTTGTTATTCCTTATGAATCTTTCTGAATAGAATAGCATTTTTTCAGTTTCCTCTATGTTTGACTTTAGTGAATCAGCTGATATGTTGTCAAGTCTTTCTGCTTTCCCACTCTTAATTTGTCTGATGGCCATGCTGATTTCTTCGTTTGCTGGTAGGATAAGGTCTGTGTGTGCTACTTCAATGTCCGATAGGTTCAGTAGTGCTACCCTGTTAAAGTGCTCTAAATGGTGGATGCCGCTTTTTAATAATCCATTTAATTAACCACTGTTATTATTAATGTGAAGCAATAACGTCTCATTCCGCGGTCAAAGATCCCATGTCTAATCTTTGCTTTTTCACTCTAAATATACACAATGATAAAAGTTGATTTCACTAGTGTTGAAATATGTGATAACACAATATATCCTGTATGCACAATCACTAATGAGTGGTTGTTCAGTTGAACACTATCTAAAAAGATTTTATGGGTTTTTTAGCTTGTGATTTCCTTGTTACAGGGTAGAATATCGTGTGAAGTTGTAGGCGACTAATAGATAAAGATTTATCAGCTTGATGTCTTGTAGTTATTTGGGAAAATCTCTAATCGATTAAAGCCACTAGAACAAAGAGTGAAATCTTAAGTTTAAACAAATCTGTTATTTCCTATGGGCCTGCCAATATATAAATCGTCAATTGGAAACACCGAATCAACCTCGACGCTGCGTCAAACCACTGACGCGTTAATCGGTACGAGCAATCTACAGTCAGCTCTGAGCACTTATTGATCCTCTGAAATAGTAGTTTCTCGCCTAACTCAACCGATTCAGTCTAGAACGCGAATATCAGCCTCCGCTATATGAATCGTGTGTTTCTGACATACGAAGTTTATATACATGCAAATCAGACCGCATCATACCATAAAATAGTAGATTATAAGTATACAAGATCAAGCCAAAAGTGTCTGTGAGTGTGAGAATCTGTAACTAATAATATGAGAGTAATTTAAAAATAGTAAATCATATAATAGTAGTCAATAGGTCCAATAAAAGCTTATAATAAAAGGAACGTGAATATACATATAATATAGTTACTTAATAGTTATACAATTATATATATCATAAATAGATCCTAAGAGTTACCATTCACTTATTTTTCGTTCGGACATAACAATACCGTTCCTTATTTTGTTTGTAATTTTTGCAATGCATTGATTGGTTAGTGATGTTGATGATTGTTAGTATTAGAATCGTCATTTCCAAACACACATAGTGTATGTTATATATCCACTGAATATATGCTTGTACCTTAAACCCATTTCGTTTGAACTAATGCTACTGCTCGCTTTCCAATCGGTTAATAAAAATGGATTATAAAAAGTGTAAGAAAAGTTATATATGTTTAACTATCAATATAGATGCGGTCATTAAAAGTATAGATGTATGTACAAGTGGTGGTTTATTGGCTAAAGCGTTCGGCTTGCAGCTACTAAGTCTCAGTTTCGATCGCCACTCCACCTACTTCGATTTAAGCTCTGGGTTAGTGTCACCAACTTTACTGTGTGGCTCATAACCATATTGACGTTTATAGATAAGAAAATCGTACGGATTACCCAAATATATTTACGTTATATTTTAGCGTAATAATACATAACAATTTGTATATTTCCAATATTACCACAGGAATTGTTTCCTATTTCCCTTCCACTAAATGGTAAATTTGCTGTTGTAATAAATCTGTCTATCACAAAGTAATTTCTGTACTGTTTGTAACATAACTGAATTTCACCATAGTGGTCATGTAATAGGGTAGGTGAATATTGTCTTGTTTATCATATAGAGCTTTTACTTATACATACTTGTAAGTAATCTCTAAAAAATATCTACATGAATACATTTTTCTGATAATAATTATAATAGCACTGGACGAATAATATTTGTTGGTTATCACTTTCAATGAATCTTGAATTTCAGGTCGAATTTCTATACTTTTGTCATATATATGACGTCCGTCTAGAAAGCATGGGACCTAACGTTTTAAAAATACCGACTGTCGTAAAATGATCAGTCAGTTATTGCTTAATTAGGTGAATAACAGTATTTCAAACTCGTTAGAAATATAGTGGAGTTGACTAGTTTTCAACGAAGCTTTTTTATTACCAGCAAACAAAATAGTAGGGTGAGATATTTTGTCATGAATTTTATGGATTGTGCTTGTTATAATATATATGTCTTTTAACGAAAATTTTTGATAAACATCGTTTATGCAGATACATTCAATATAATGCACGATTAATTAGGTGTAATTTGGTTCATAATATTGTCAACATTTTTGTTTCAATTTCGCACATTCACTCCTTTTTTAATCTTTTCCTTAGGTTTTTCGTCCTCGCGTTCCATCGGAAGCAATTCAGTTGGTGTCACAGTTACTTGACTACACACCCTCAAAACGTTTAGAACCGTTAGATGCTTGTTTACATTGCTTTTTCGATGAGTTAAGACAAGAAGGAACTAGACTTCCCAATGACAGACCTCTACCTCCATTATTTAATTTGACACCCTACGGTGAGTATCTGAATTTCACTATTATTATTAGCATCATTATGTTGATTAATTGTGTAATACTGCAATATATTTGTCTGTTCTTTACGGATAAAAAATTGCTTCTCTACTGTCAGGCTATATTGAAGCATCGACAACATGTTTGATGTAAGTTAAAACACTGAAATTTTGAACTGTTTTACATCATATAAACATTATGCTTAGTTTAAATCAAGTCATTATTGTGTGTATCTATACTGTTGACTATCAAATGGTGTTGCTATCCTGATATCTGAATGTTCTCTTCATTTATTCTATTTTTAGCCTAATTCTTACGCTATAATAAAGTGTGTATAAAAATGTTAATTTGTATACCGATTTTGTTTGATTACTTATTCCTGTTCTATTTTCTCTCTCTCTCGTTTTCTCTTTCGATAATTGTAAGCTGTATTTTCAATATCAATAAAGTTTTACACTTTTCCAGGTACGAATTTAATGTTCGCATAAAATTGGTTTTTATTAATTTCGTATTTATTGTTCTGTATAGTAGTGTATAACTCAACAAAATTACTTATTATCTATATCTTAAACAAACTCCGACTGTAACTCTCCCAGGGTTACTGCCGGTCCGAACCTCGGGTAAAGGAGGAGGGTTGGGCATGGGGTCAGCAACCCCATCCCGTAGAAAACAACCTTGCTATGAAACACTAACCAAAATCAACATATTAAACCATCTAGACTCTGCCATATCCGTAGGTTAATAGTATTTGATCATAGGTGCCTTCAAATTATTGCTCGTATATCCTGGGACCATCGAGTAAGTAACGCAGTTGTTAGGAAACGGGTACTAGTTAAGCATGGCAAATCAATTGATGAAGTAGTGAAACTTCATCAGTTGAGATGGCTGGGACACGTGTTACGTATGCCCAACGACCAACTGCCTCGACGTGCGATGTTCAGTGGTATAGGAGTAAGTTGTAAGAAAGCTAGGGGCGGCCAAACCAAAACATGGCATAAGTCCATGAAGTCACTGACAAGTGGACCGAGTCATGTTGGTAGGTGTAGACTACGTGGTTGGGGAAAGCGAGATGATAGCAACCGATGGTTAGAGACCCTGAATGACATGGCTAAAATCGTTTGCAGTGGCGCAGGTGCATCCACATTTTGTGTTCTCCCGAATTCTAATCTTCTGACTTCTTCATATCCCTTTCTTTTTTCTCTTTCCAAATTTATTTCACTGTATTATACTCCTTGAATAACATCTTCAAACCCTAACTTTTCTGATTACAGCTTATAATTTTACTACATCTAGCACTACGGGATTCGTATCGACCACTGCATCTCTGTGCTAATGTGGTGTGGTAACTCGAACTGATGTACGAACGTACGAAGTTCTACGTTGTCACTGACTGACTAGACTCTGCCCTCCGAATTGAAAGAAGAATTATGACGCCTCATGAGATTCTTTGAAAGTCATGAGGCTGATGCCCTTTCTAACAACCAGAGCGACAATTTTTATAAGTAAATGGAACGTTAGGATAATGTGCGAGACCGGGAGAACCGGTCAAATAGCAAAGGAAATGACGGGGTATAGCTTGGTGGTGCTCGGAATCATTAAAACCCATTGGATTCAAGCTGGACAACAAATGTTAGATTTGGGAGAGATGCTGCTATACTCAGGTCACGAACAGGAAAATGCCTTACATACAAGGAGTTGCACTGATGCTGTCCATTGAAGCACTGAAGTCGGACATAGAAGTAACTACGAATATTCTCCACATTGTAATCAGGATTTGGGAGGGAGAAGTGCCACAGGCAGACTGAAAATAAGGATATCTCATCAGAATACCAAAGAAAGGAGATCTGAGCAAATATGAGCACTACAGAGACACACTACTATCGGTACCAGGAAAGGTTTTCAACACGGTGTAGCTGAACCGGATGAAAGATTCAGTAAACACTCAACTTCAAGATCAACAGCCTGGATTCCGTAATATGATCGGTCATGTACAGATCAAATCTCCCTTTTCTCTTCCGGTGGTTGACTTGATTATGAAATCCTTCACATCTGACGGGAAGCACGGAATACAACGGACAGGTTGGGTGCAACTAGACGATCTGGACTTCGCAAATGACTTAGCTGTTCCATCCCATACACACGAGCAAATGCAGATCAAAACAACCAATGTGGCATCAACCTCTGCAACAATAGGCCTCAACATACACAAGGGAAAAGGTAAAATCTTCAAATACAACGTGGAGAACATCAACCTAATCACATTTGACGGAGAAGCTCGGGAAGAGGTGAAAACTTTCACGTATCTGGGTAGTATCATCGATGAATAAGGTGGATCTGATGCAGACGTAAAGGCAAGGATTAGCAAAGCAAGTACAGCATTCTTACACTTCAAGAATATATAGAACTCAAAACAACTGTTAACCAACATCAAAGTTTTAATCTTCAATACGAACGTCAAAACGGTTCTACTATACGGATCTGGAGCTTGGAGAGCTACTACAGCCATCATCAAAAAAGTACAAGAATTTATTAACAGTTGTCTACACAAAGTACTGAATGTCTGTTGACTGAGTACCATCAGCAACAACCTACTGTGGGAATGAACAAACCAGTTTCCATGTGAAGAGGAAATTACGAAAAGACCGTGGAAGTATGTAGGACATACATTACAGAAACCATCAAACTGCATCAGTAGGCAAGCCTTAACTTAGAATCCTGAAGGGAAACGGAAAAGAGGACACATTGTGTTGGGAATTGGAAATGGTTATCGAAATAATGATTAGCAACTGCGAAGGATTGCCCAGGACAGAATTGTATGGAAAATGCTTTTTGGCGGCCTATGACTCTCCATGAGGTGTAAGAGGCGTAGGTAAGTATGTCAGTATAATTCAAACAAGAAAAATACATGTGAAATTGAGTAGTAAAATTATTATTTAAATTTAGCATCACTCGTTCATAATTTACAACATATCTCTGTGATAGTTATTCCAATTATCAGTATTGCGTTCTTTTTTTAGAAACTATCGATTTCAAATAAAATAATACTAATCTGATGAATTTGTCAGCCAATTGTAATAATCAATATTACTTGAAATTGTTAGAATGCCCTCTTGATTGAAATAATCCTTTTCCTATACTATGATTTTTTAAATATTTCCTCCAAATTCCCTGGTATGACAGAGGGTCAGGAGAGCTAGCTCTCCTTCTCGAAATGCCATCACAGCCACTCACGCAGCAGTCCTACTCACTGCATACTCGCAGTGGGTTTATTGTTCATGAAATTGAGAGGACGAAAAGCGAATATTCGGTGCTTTAACAGGGTCGGTGAACATGGGGGGTCCACCTATGGTATTTGGAAAACCTAGATTCCAAACCAATGATGAACATGGGCTCCATGATCCTAAGGGAATGAATGGTTTATGAACCTATTATTGGTCACCAGCTACCATGGGACTGCATCTCCTGACGTTGCTCGACTGCCTTGTGCATTAGACCTTTCGGTCGAAGACTCCGGGTGTAACCGCCTAAGGAGACCACCTTTTCTGTCTGGGCACCCGAGCATTATCACAGTTCACACAAAAATCAAGTGACTTTGTACCAATATTTGTGTTCAAATAATAGTAATCTGTTGATTTCGTTTTTATACTTTTAGAAATGACTATGCGAGATGATATGTACAAATTTCTCCCACCTTCTCGAACATCCGGAGGAGCTGGGGGATCAGAGTCAAGTTTACCACCTACTTCGGATCTTTCAATGGTAGAACAACCACAACCGCATCATATAACAGATGCTGTTGATCGCACGGGACAAAATCACAATCCCTCTACATCAGAAGGGAGTAAATTATCGGATTCAGAAATTCGATTAGCAGTTGTAGCTCCATCTCGTAGTTCGGATAACATACAACTCATATCAAATAACAGTAACAACAATGATAATAACAACAATATTGATATACCTCATCAATTGAAAGATTCCTGCCATGAAGAGTTAGAATCTAGGAATATTCAAGGTGTCAATAGTTAAAGATAATGATCACATTGTGTCTATCTATAAAATTTATTCACTATATTTGTCCTCATGTGACATTTGTTAAATTCCGAAATTCAATATCACGAAACAAGGATGAAAAACCATTCGACTCAGGTTTCTCGTCCAGTTTATTCCTCCTGAGACAAGTACTAATTATATACATGTACAAATATTTACCAATATAATCAGTAATATTTCTTAAGATTAATGAAGCTCCTTCCTGTAGATGACAATCAAAATAACACAGAATTATAGTGACAAAGTAATTTGTTTTATTCCTATTTTAGGATTTCACTTATTTTCCATTTCTGTACAAACATACTCTCACATTCACAATCTAATGATCATTTCTCATGTAATTTCAATCATATCCATCTCTCTTTCAATCACTTTAATTAACAACATCTACATATTTTGTGTGTTTTTTTGTTCATTCATGTATGCTACATTTAATGTTGTAGTTTGTTTATTTTCAACATTGGCACTTTGTTTTTTTATCATTTTTTTCTGACTACCTTACTTTGTTTGTTTTTCCTGCCTAAATGTGACATTGCTATTTGAAAAGTAAATGAGTAGTCGTTTACACGAAATATCCTTTGGTTACAACTCTTTATATTGTCTTCTAACTATTTCTGTTTTTTAAGTGATAATCAAGGAAAGTATTTGTTTATTAAGTGGTACAGTGCAACATTTAAAAATTTGTTTTCTAAATGTATGTCAACTGTAATGTTTCTTTATTTTTTTTCGTAGTGTTTTCTTAACATTCTCTTAAATTACAATGATCTTCATTGTGACTACAGTTGTTTATCATTCCTGTTATTAATACTGCATGCGGCGCCCGATAAACATTATATATATATATATATATATATATATATATATATATCGGTTACAAAACAGACATCTTTCACATATTATGGCATTTTTTCTCGTCACTGCTCTCCTGTTGGTTCGTCTTTCATATCATATCATATATAAATACATATATATGCCATTATAGATTATAATTATAGACAAGTATATCAATTTACGATCATGATGTTTAATAGAATCCTTGAACATTTTTCTTTCCGTATACACCACTTTGTCTTTTTTTTGCAATGACTTTAATGAATATTTCTGTCCATTAGAAACTTAATCAGTAGATAGGCAGGCTGCAGAAATATGTGGACTAGTCACATTACAAACAATATTTTATGTAATGATTTGTATTTGAGGGAAATAATTTCAATAATTAAAGGAACCACTGAGTTACAGATTGACATGTTGTGATTTCACATTCACTGATCTCTATTTCTATATAATACGCACCTTAATTAGTTATATGGGAGAAAAATGCGTTTACTTTGTGTGTTTATCTACATATACTTTCGTACCTACGTGTTATTCTGTCATATTTCTATGAACAGTTTTTAATTTTCCGTGCGTATCTAATGTAATATATTGATCAATATAATATACATATGTAGTACAACTTGTGTTATTTTCTATCATTCATATGTAATCATCTTTTATTTAATTCACCAACGTATAACTATTAATCCTAGTTCTGTCCAAAATTTAAGCTGTTATAAATTACATTGCAATATCAATCCCCTCCCATATCTGTGTAATTGAATAATTACACAAATCATATATTATATTTTGTATCATTATGATAACTGTCACTCAGTTTATTCAAGAAAAGCAAAAATGAAGGAGATTAAATAAAGAATTTGTAAACTTTGTCAACTTTGTGCTTTTTCTGTGCTACATTTCTATTTCTTCTTTCATACATAATAAATAGTAAGTGGTGGTCTAGCTGCATAGTCTTTTTAATTCTAAAAAATCAAACAGTTTAGTGTCTGTTCAGAATTTTTAACCGTTTATTAATATAATGAATACTTATACGTGAATATCGTGTAGGACGATGTAAAATAATCGGTCTTATATACTCGAGTATAAGTTGAGACCGCCATTTTGTAATTGAATTTATAAAAGTAAATAGTTATTGTCAAACACCATAAAGTATATTTACTTAGCTCTTGGTGAATTCATGAATTAGTACAAAGTTATATCCACTCCTGGTTTTTCTTCAAGTTACCATTATTATTATTGCAAGTAACAACCACTTTATGGTTCGTTTATACAGATAACATGTAAGACGCCTGACATATTACGTACACGAACATAGTAACTAAGTTTTTGTAAGCGGAATACTGTTATCGTTTGCAAACTTGCGACTGGTTGGAGGAAATCTATGCCTTGTAGCAGCTCTTCTAAACTTCTATATATTTATGATCATCATTACTCCTAATACTACTCCGTTCAAAGTCAATTTACTGAAGGTCGACCCTAAAAATGCACATCTCACCTTATCCCACGGATATCCGTCTCCGACGGTAAGGTCTCAACAAGTACGGAGCTAACACAAAAACTACTCATAAAAAGGTCGTGTGTGACCGACCTCAAGCATCTGTCCCTTGGGCACTGCGGTCACGCTCTCAGATCACTATGACCACCTCTAATCCAATTTCCTTTTCAGGTACCTCCAGAAGAACCCTTCTACGGTGTGGGCAACTGGGAAGTGATAACCGCCTTCATAACTCTAACAGCACTCATAACTGACTGACTGGAGGTCTCATTTTTGTCCTTTAAAGACTACAATTCTGTCTTCATTTGAATAAACCAACTAATTGGCAGTTAGTTTACCGCATGACTAGGTACACCAAATATCACTTCGCTATGGCATGATGTATTGGTGTCTGTCACTATACTAATAACTGGCAATTTTTCAGGTTGGAATTTCTCTTGTCATACTGCTTTTTACATATCTTACGTCTCATCACTGGTTTACTCAAAAAGCTATTTTTCCAATTAGTAGCCCTCAATATTTCATGAATTTTCTGAGAGTTTCTCAAGTTTCGTCGTAAACTTTAGTTCTGAAGTTTTCACACAAAAATTATTATATCAAGTAGTATATAGGATTATTTCAAGGAGATGCTCATTCCCAAATTTGTGTGCAAATTGTCTGTCTTACATGGTATATTCAGCTTTAATGAGTCGGAAAGATATTTTTGCATGTTGTCTCTTGCTGACTAGGAAGCTAAGTTTTGGTATGAAGAGTAAATTATTATTACAATAGTTTCTGTTGGTACACTGATCTGTTATTTACAATTGATCGATTACTGAGTAGGGACCAGTGTCATGTATGTCAAGTCTTTTTCAGTTCTGAATCGATCTAGTTGTAATATGGCCATTAGTTTTACTGACTCGATATCGTGTGCACTATGCTGAGGTGTAAGTTGGTGCTTGGAGGTGGTCAACAAGAAACTGGAGCTGAGTTTTGTCCCCTTTGACTTTCTCCAGCAAGATGTACCTGTAACCTAATTGGAACTGATACTCCCTAATAGATTCGATCCTGTGTCACAGCTTCGTAATCAGAGAATATCCAGCTCAATGAACGTTGTAGTGTTGGTTGCTATTTCAAGCCCATATAGTTTCCGGACGGGCCAATTTATTCATTCTTCTTGAGTCACATTTTGACCTTGTTAATTATTCGCTTATTAACCTTGACTTTTTATGTAAGCGTATGTGTATGCATTTCTTATCTTACACGTCACATGTCTGTAACTTATTTTTGTTCGGCTATAAATATCGATTCACACTTGGTTAAATCGAGTTGGCTTACATGCCTTCACCGCGCGTCGTTTCACTTCACTCTCTCCTCTTCGTTTATCTGGATCAACCATTGTATGCAATATACGTATTGGAAATTCATCCTTGTATTTGACTTATTTAATTCTGTTATTCGCCAACGTATATTAAGTCGGTAATTATATGCGAGGATTGGCGGCATGTATATTTCAATAAAAATCAATCATACAATCATTTATATCATCCAAATGGAGTCAGATCTCGGGCCACAAAAACGCAATACCGCCAAAGAATTGGATGGTGGCACTTACTGTAACATATACGGAAGTTCATGTTTGTCATATCAGTTTCACTATATAGATTGTGCTTTTCATATTACCTCATGGTTGCTAGTTTTATATTTCTTGCTTTACATTTGTATCTAAATTCAGTATTCCCACTTGACAAACTACCAAGTTACTGAATTAATCCGAGTCACCCACGTTTCCATCATATCTTTGTATTGGTTGAAGAATTCGTAAACAGCCATACATTTATTAATGACATTTGTGTTCATAAACAAGACATCACATACCGATATTGTTTCAGCCCAATGATCATCGGTAGTGATCTTAGCTTATGTATAATTAGTCAATAAATTTTCCTCAAAAAAGATTTGTGTACATAGCTTTGAAAGGTTTCGTGAACAAGTATTTTCATATAAAATTCGATAGCTTTACTGTTCACTTCATATGTGTGTAATAGTGAACATCTGGTTTTGGATTACTAACTGTAAGGCCTTATCAAATGCTTGTTGTAAAGACGTAACCAACCAATCCAGGTTAATATGCACTGTGATTCTTTATGAAATTTATGCAATTACTGGAATAATCCATAATAAATATTCGGCTTAATAATTAAACTTATCTACATATTTTCTGTTGTACCCACTCATTGCTTCGGGAATTCTGGAAGCATTAATAATATGCAAAATGAAAACTAGATTTGTGTATACGAAAATAGTTTGCGAGATTCCCTTTTTTTACTACACCCACTAGTTTTTTTTTATATATTCACGTTGTTTTGTAAGTTTTATGTTTTCACCTTCAAGTTACAGGCAACCTTATCATTACAGTTGAATAAATTTCAATAAAATTTACTGATTTCATTCATCTTATCATCATTATAACTTGATATCACCTGAAAACATTTTTCTTTCACAATGATTTTCATGTATCTATGTGAAAAATTACATCGAAACCTTTAATCTTGTAAATTTATTTTTGACCTTTAATCTGTTATGTTTCCTGTAGTTTTCAGTCAGTCTGATGATTCATTTATTTATTAATAATTAATAGTTATTTCATATTACACTTCATAATTTCCACTCACTTTATATATGTATATTCATATGTAAAGATTATTCATAGTATCAACTATTTCATATGAATACAATAGTACATACAACATGAAATCATGAAATCTTTGAAGAGAACAAAGTGTTTTTTACTGAAAATATTTATTGTACTATTATATTTATTTATAAGTGCTTGTGTTTTATTGTTGCACAGTATAGGGGCTACCTGGACTCAATAGTTCAGTGATTAACATTTTGGAGTTAATGTCACGCGTTCTGAGTTCTTGTGTGAACATGAACACTGGACTGCAGGTATATCCAGTTAACTAGTTTCAAATTCACCGCCTAGACTCAACTGCTAACCACTGTTCAGCTTTGTTATTCTATTTATTGACTTGATTTGCCGGGTTTTGTTTTGTAGAAGCTAAGTGAATCATACCCACAAGTATGAAAATACTGTTAATAATTGAATTCATTAAAGCACATATTGATC